GAAAGGAGAAAATAACAGAAAGGATGGTCCAAGGGAATCGGCGGAATTGGCAGTACCCATACGATTAAGAAAGCGACCTTGGAGTGAAATGCTCAAGAAACGCACGGGTACACAAGTACTGCATGGTTTCAATTGGAACGATTACAAATGAAGTTGACACAAAATGTAATACTTGTTGTGGTGTGAATCCCTTATTCTTCTACATACTTCCTTTCAATCAGTTCATTCCGGCAACCACTTGATGTCTTTCAAACTCACATCTCCATTGCAGGGAACGAGTATTGAAGCGCATTATATTGGTGTTTCCGCTTCGCTCAAAGACTTACCGAGCACTGGACATACAGCTCGAATCGCGATTTCCATTCACCCCCAAACAGGCTACCGCTGCTCCGACCATTGCTGATCTTGGCACCTTAACACCCTCTCTTCCGCTGGACATAATATGTCCCCTCTCTGGTCGATTCCTCAACCAAGCAATCCTAACTGTCGAGGCTTGGGTTCACGAGTAGGAAGGAATCCCCACCCAAGGCTTAGTATGGCCATTCTTACCGTTCTTATGCAGAATAGAGTTTTACATAGCGACCATCGTTCAATGGAGGGCAAGAGGCGAGGTTGGGAAAATCATACAACACTTTGTTTGAAACAACAATTCCAAACCGAATTCACGGGGTAAAAACCGTTGATAATGTAGTTGTAGGTGAAAATTTGACCGATAGTGAAGAAAAAACCAAAAAAACGCCGAACAGGGCTTTAAACAGGGACTCCCCTCTGCCTTAGCGATGAGGGAAGACGCGTGTTGGACGAGTTGTCTGAACTTGCCGCAGAATGCGCTCCAGCTGGCAAATACCGAGCAATATTTGGCTACTTGCCAGCAACTGCAATAGAAACACCAATGCGGGAATAGGAAGCGCTCGACATTGAAATTCGAATTCTAGTCCAGCATAATGGACATTGATTATTGAAGGACCGACGTCAAGTAGCCCCGGGTGATCCCAAAATCCCGAAACGACCGCAAATGCCTGCGCAGACAATCACGCACTTTCTACGACTGCAAGTGGGCGTGCGTACCGGGCCCGGTGGATCCGCCCACTTCGAAGGCGTTAGACCCCCTTCCAACGCCTTTCAAAGGTAAGTTTTCAAATCAGTGACATTTCCTATGTACTTGACTAGGGCTAGTGCATGTTTCCAGGATCGATGGTTGAAACTCTGCTGGGACTGTTGCTTTGAAGCAACAATTCCAGATAGAATTCGTGAGGTAAAAACGGTCGATGATGAAGTTATAGGTAAAGAGTTGACTACTAATGAAGAAAAAAGGGAAAAAAAACGCCGGTAAAGGCTTGTAAGCACAGACTCCCCCTCCTCCTTGTAATGAACAAAGGGGGCGAGTTGGACGAGATGTTGAACAAGCTTGCTCCGTCGGGTTCTTTGCTAGCTCGTGCCAGTAAGAAATGCGCCTACAATCGTATAGGCACCAATACAAGCATAGACGTTGCATAGATACAACGAAACAAATGCGATATTTAAATGAGGTAAGCAAGTAAAACAACTAAAAAGAGGCAGCGTTAATTTCAAAACGCGGTACAAACGCACAGTCGCGCAAGAACCTGCACCCAACATGCGATCTCCACAGCTGACAATTTAAAAGCGTTCGAGTCTTTCCAAGGAGAGTATGGCAGTGACACTTCATATGGTCTCGACTAGGGTTAGTGCATCTTTTCACTGCATGCTTGCATTAGTATCGCAGATAAGGATCCTGCTGGGACAGGTGCTTCAAAGGCACAAAGGCGGTGAGAACTTTCTCGACCCGCAATGTACGCCTCGTGCGCAATTTCCGTCTTCCGTTGTCGGCACAACGCTGGCACTGCTAGGAGAAAGCTGGCGCAATGCTAGCAGCACCAGCGCTAGGACTAACTGTTGCGCACCCCTATTCGTTCCAGAAGGGTCATGGAGCTAATTCTGCAGAGCTGATTGGCGTGTAGTGAGATTCAGGAAGATGAGATCAAAAAGGAAAAAAGAAATGAAGAGAAGTAGAAAAAGAGAAAGGAGATCTGCAGGCACCAACCATTCACGTCGGAATTTC